CTCTCAAAACCAGATCTAAAAAGTAGACCTTTCGACCTGTGAATTTGGAATTTGGGTGTGTGAGTTGTGTATTTAATCTTCCAATGGGGTCTACGTACAGTATGGCTCATCCCCTTGAACTGCAGGGGTGCGGTAGTGTCCCGCCTAAAGTGGTCAGTAGCTCATGAGTCATAGCCAGTATAGACCATACATAGCCGCTATGCCATGCTTGAACTTGGCAAGGTGAGGCATGTGTGTTTGTGGGACAAAGAATTCAAGCAACATGATCAAAGATGGCCCTCGTTTGCCAAATGCTCCCCCCTCAAAGGGTGTCAATTATGGAACAAACTAGAAAGAAACTGAGAACATGAATTGCTTTTCCAATATGGAAGGAGGAAAAAACACATGTTGCTTCTGGGAATCAATACAGTTGAGACTTTGGAGCCAACTCTGAACCCCAACACACTGCGTGTCCATTCAGTGACAATTCTGCTTTTTGTTGTTGTGTATTTTGCAATTTCTGGGAACACCAACACTTGGCTGCCGACTGAATCGTCCATCGCTCATCCCCTGTCAAACCTCTTCATTGGACTTATCAGACTGAATTTCTCAAAAGATTTTGTTAGTCTTCTCCAACAAAAGAGTGCAAATGTGAGACGCCGCCACCACCGAAGAACATTCTGATAACATATTTTGTTACACTCAGACCCTGGGGGTTCAAATCCAAAAGAATGTGTTTAAAGAAAGCTCCTTTGTCGAGTTTTTGATCCAACCATCCCAAAATGGATGTGTCAGTTTTCACCCAAGCGAGTGAGTGGTTGGTTGGTTTGTCTTTGTTGGTTGGTCTTTTTTGGTTGGCTGGTTGATCTTGGTTGGTTAATTGGTTGGTTGGTCTTTTTTGGTTGGCTGGTTGATCTTGGTCGGTTAATTGGTTGGTTGGTTTGGTTGGTTGGTTGGTTTTGGATGCCATCAGATCTTTTTCCGCCTCATGGTCAGTCAGGAAAAAAGAATCTGTGCAAACACTTGGCATCACTGTCAGCCAGGTGACCAGCAAGCAAGCAAGCAAGCAAGCAAGCAAGCAAGGAAAACAAACAAAACAAACAAACAAACAAACAAGGAAACAATCAAGCAAAGAAAGAAAAAAGAAAGAAAGAACGAACGAACGAACGAAAGAAAGAAACAAGCAAGAAATCAAACAACCAAACAAAAAAACGACACAAAACAAACTAACGAACAAAACAAAACAAAACAAACAACCACAACAACAAACATTACACAACAACCAACCAACCAACCAACCAACCAACCAACCAACCAACCAACCAACCAACCAACCAACCAACCAACCAAACAAACAAACAAACCAAAACAAAACAAAACAAAACAAACAAAACAAAACAAAACAAAACAAAACAAACAAACAACAGAAAAAACACAAAACAAAACAAAACAAACAAACAAAACAAAACAAACAAACGAAACGAAACGAAACGAAACGAAACAACAACAGCAGCAACAAAAACACCGGCAACAACAACAAACAAAAAACAAACAAACAACAACAACAACAACCACCACCACCAACAACAACAACAACTTCTACTACAACTACTACTACCACTACCACTACCACTACTACGACCACAACCACCACGACGGCGGCGACAACGACGATGACAACGAAAACGACAAACCAAGAAACAAGCAACAACAACCGACAACAAGAACAAGAACAACAACAATAATAAGAACAACAACACCACCCATAAACAACAACCACAACACCACCTCAACCGCAACCACAGCCAGATCCGCAGCAAATTCTTAGCAACACCAACAACATGAGTTAAAAGAAATACACCGCCGGAGCCACATCCAGCCGGCGCCATGGATCGTCTAGATTCGTGCGACTACGCACAACCTCTTGCAGCGAACACTATAGTGATTGCTCAATCAGCATCCAGCCTCCAAAACCTACGCAACATGATCGTGTCATGCTTCAATTGCGCTGCAAACGCGTCACAAACATTGAAGCATCTCATTCACAATTACTTTCACTTAGCCCAGAGAAACCGAACCTTTTAAGGACCTATCCAAAAGTGTATGAACATAGCCAAATCCGCCCGAGCAGTGTCTGGGAGAGGAGTGGGAATGGGAGAAGACATTGAAAAACACTCGGCTTTATATATCATGTATGTCTTGACTATATTTCCCATCATCGTATCACGTGCATCACCACGTCCCTGAAAGGCAAGCAAACGACTCCTCTCAACAGTCTATGTCTTTATATAACTTTCATGATTGCATCATACGCATCAGCTGGTTGCAATTGCAAAGCTTGTTAAGGCAACATATGCACCAGCTGGTTGCATTTGTATCGTTTATTGACCCAAGTGCCTGCAAATTAACTAGTATAATTTGGACACCTGAAAACTATACAATGTCAAGGATGTAGAAAACTAGATCCAACCATGCTTGCAAATTGCAAGCAAGACATAACTAACCCATTTGTAAGATGGTCCAAAAACATAGTGGTAGTTATAGAGCCTTCTTGAATTTTATTCATGCTGCCACAAGCACACTGTTTAGCTTATTGCGCATAACCGCTCTACTTTTCGACCCCCTTGAAATGTACATTTTTCAGGGTTGCCAACTTGTATTGCTTTGCAGGCATTGTTGGGTGTAATTTGGACCCTCTGAAAACTGCACAATTTCAAAGAGGTCGAAAAATAGGTCTCCAACGATGCTTGCGCGTTGAAAGTAAGACACAGCTAAGCAGATTGCAAAAGGGTCCGAAAAGAGAGTGATTATAGATACTTCTTGTATCTGGTTCATCCACTTCACGCTGCGCTCATCGCTAAGTCCATAACCATTCTATTCTTCGACCCCCGAAAAGGCACAACCTCAAGGGAACGGAAAGCAAAATTGTGTCAATGGAGGGTCCGGGGGAGAACCGCTGATACGCAGCCCATCTGAGGCCTTCGAAAAAACTCTCACTGGGAATCATTGCGTGGCGGGGGCCTAACTGGCCCTTTCATCGTCCTGTAGAGCTCCAGCAAAGTGCATCCACCTCGATCTTTAGAGATCACGTGCGGTCAACGGCGGATTCGGAAACACTAGCAGTAGCAGCCCTCGACTATACAAAATACGTCCTTGGGAATCCTAGATCTATGGGCCTGGAGTTTCAGAA